TCTCCCCCACGTTTTATTGAATAGACAGTAGTGGAACGCGAAAAATCGAGTTCGGCCACGGGGGCGGGGCTTAAGTGGGCGGGGTTAGCAACGACCCGCATGGTTTCCGCCGGTGCGGCACAGAAATTATCGTATTTTTTTGCAGCTCAATTCACATAACGAGGAAGAAAAATAGCATGTAATCGTTGTTTTTTGGGGGTTTAATCTGTTCAGTCAATGAATTTTATGAATAATAAATGATTATAAATAATGATTTACTGTGTTACTGTTATCTTTCATAAACTGAGTCGATAAATCGGAGAACAAGTTCGGTTTTTGTTTTAAAGCCAGTAGTCGGAAGCGTCAATCTACTCCAGTGCAATGCTACGATGAGAAGAAACAGGCGTCGAGATATGTTAAAATTCATTTATGCTTTTTTGAGAGGGAACAGAGAAAAATCGGTCAGACAAGAGACATTATTCGATTATTAAAGTGAGAGAAACGGGTTGGAATTCTGGGAGACGTCTCCAATCATTGTGATGAACAGCTCGTCGCAGAACTGATACATTTTCCATAGCAGATCGTACGACAACTCGCCATTCTCCGTCGTTTCTTCCGTTTGTTGAATACATTGCCATCTAATCGCTTCTCTGGCATTGTGAATGATTCCTGAAACCCGAGGTTAAGTAAACAAAATGACAACAATTATAGACTTACGAGTGATAAATTCAAGGCTAACTTCGGTTTGAAATCGAAGTTCCGAAACCAGCGTTTATTTTTCTTTCTTCGCATTCTTCGGGTCGTCCTTTAGCATTTTTCGAGTTTGCTGACAGATCTGTCGACATTTCTATCAGCGTGTCGTCTGAACTCCTTTTCAGACGCTCATTAGTCGATTTTTGAGGACGTCACGAATGGTCGCTGAAGAATTTTTTCGTTCGACGGAATCCAAATGACCGTCGACTGCATTCTGAAAAAAAATTCCGTTAAAAAAAAAACAATTATCGCGAAAAAATAGGCAATTTCAAACACAAGAAACAACATTAAAATACGAAAAAACACTGCTGCATTCGCTTGCCTAACATGAAAAAGTTCGGCCAGCCGAAATATAATTCAGTCTGCATTTTTACAAAGTACAATGGACCTTTCAAATCGGTCTCATTTTTTTATTATATATTCTTAGTAAAATTTACTGAAAATCTGTGGAACAAAAATCAAATTATATGGACTAGAATTCGAGAAAAAACATTCCAAAGTTGAAAAAAAGCAGATGGAAGAGAAAATTACACTGAAAAAGTTTCATCGGGCAAGTCGGGATTTCGAGGGCCGTGGCCTAGGAAACCAAGCAAGTGGTCGTCAGAATTTCACCGTGACTTTTTCAAATCGTCCCCCATTTGCCTCGACTTTTATTTCCGAATTCTGCTGGTTTCCTAGTTTTTTGAGGGTATCGTATGAGACGTACCTCCGTTTTTTTTCGATTTTTGTTTTTTTTTCGGAGCGCAGTTGTAAAAATGCGAAACATTGTTTTTTTAGAAAAACAGATAGACAGAAGTTGTAATTTCTCTAAAACTTGAATATCGTAGTATTATTCTTGAACGATAAACTTTCATTAGATAGCATAATATCCAAAAATGTCTAATAACCTTCAAATAAATATTAATTCAAGAAAAACCGAACCAACACGACATGCATTCTCAGCAGCGTCCTGGCCAAATGGGTAGGCATCCATATGGGGTAAGTGAAGTTGATAAAATGCGTATTTACCACAAGAACATTTTTCTAGACTCCATCTAATGTACAACAGACGCGTCGTCCAGGAACATTCTCGGCTCAGCAACAACAAATGCATGCCGTCAGACCTCCTCCTACTGCTGCTCCAAAGAAGAAACGATATGCAGATAAATGCATACATCCTAAGGTTTCCAACAGAGAAACCGATCATTTTTTATGTTCAATTTTCAGATTCGAGAGCTGGAACCCGATACAGAAAACTATATGGCGCTTCTCGCATCGGAACAAAGAATTGATTCCACAATTGCACGAAAAAGATTGGATATTCAAGAAGCCCTGAAGCGTCCAAGCAAAGTGAAAAAGCGCCTTCGCATTTACATTTCACACACATTCATAGAAGAGAGACAACCAGAACGAGAAAATGAAGATGCTTCTCTACCAATGTGGGAGCTCCGTGTCGAAGGACGTCTTCTTGATGATCAATCCCCGCAGTCCGCAGTTTCAGGACAACGTCCGAATCCTAAGAAAAAGTTCAGCTCTTTTTTCAAGTCTCTAGTTATTGAACTCGACAAGGAAATGTATGGACCTGATCAACATCTTGTAGAATGGCACAGAACACCCCAAACAAACGAGACAGATGGATTTCAAGTGAAACGGGCTGGTGACCGTCCTGTGAAATGTCGCGTTCTTCTACTGCTGGATAATCATCCTTCAAAGTTCAAACTTCATCCACGACTAGCCAAAGTTTTGGGCATTGCTGCAGATACTCGTCCCAAAATCATTGAAGCACTGTGGCAATACATAAAAACTCACGGTCTTCAGGACCCTCAGGAACGTGATATTATCAACTGCGACACTTTCTTGACCCAGTGCTTCGGGGTCGCCAGAATGAGATTTATGGAAGTTCCAAACAAGTTGCATCAGCTTCTCCAGCAAATCGACCCATTGGAGTTCAATCATGTCATTCAAAGACCAAAAGAAGGACAAGAACAAGTTTCTACATGCTACGATATTGACGTCGAAATGGAAGATCCAGTGAAGCAGTATATGGCACAATTCATCCACAATCCAATACTTGTCAATGACATCCAAAATCTTGATCAGAAGTGCTATGACATCATCGAACAAATCAACGAATTGAAGACTCGTCGTGACTTTTACGCCAGATTCTATACCGAGCCAACCGAGTTCATCAGAGATTGGCTTATGAGTCAGAATTCAGATCTAAAACATTTGAACGATATGAATGGAGATGTTGAAGCGGAGAGATACTCAGCCGCCTACGTTAAGTCTGAAACAGAGGAAGGAGTGCAACGGTTCGTGAAAAAAGGTTACAAATCTGTATTTATTATCATTATTCAGCTACATGTATCAAAAAGTGAATCAGAAACGCCTCGAGCTGGAACAAAGTCTCGGAGTTCGCTCAAATTAGTACGATCTACATTGATTGCCTTTTTTATCTTCACATCTAAATATATCATCAATTATTTCCGCATTTATTCTTGTAATTTTGTTTCGTATCTATCTTCATGTACAATCATTTATCACCAGCACATATGCTTTTTCTTTTTACACTTCATTTCTATCCGCAATAAATAATACGTGACCTCCACCAAATCATTAACCATGTGCAATTCAAAAACCTTCCATATTTTCAGTTGTTACTGTTCGTTTTAATTCAATAATTGCAATGGATTCGGACGAAGAAATTTTGTCTACGTATTCTAGTTTGACTGTGACTTCAAGGTGCTATCATATAAATTATAATTTCATAAATTTGAAACTACTGTATTCAACAGAAGTGCGACAACAATTTCTACTAGAGATTCCGCAAGCAACGCAGTTCCTGCTGTCGTGGATCAAAATGAGGAAGTTTTTGAGGATGCAAGCAGTGACATCAGTATCTTGTTGGTCAATTTAGATCTCAATATGTACTTATTTGTTTTCATTCAGAACAAAACGAGTGGTGTCGTCGATTCGTTTGGATCGAACCAAACTGCGCATAGCAGTTCATCAGGATTTGTGCACTCATACGCAAAAGATCTACGAGCCATTGTTCCTGAGAAAATGTGAAGTTCAGAGAGCCAGACAGGGTTCTGCACCACCAAACATTATTCCAATCCAGAATGTGGAAATCATGGATTCCCAAGAGGTTAAGTGTCCGATGTTAGCTGAAACTTGACCCCTTTTCAGAAAATGTCTTGTCATTCTGCTCTTTTGACCAGTCTCAACTCTCCAACTTATTGTGTTCGTTTCTTGGCTGCTAATATCAGCCATAAACCTAAAAATGTGCTCGTCTATGCTTCTCCAATCAATTTTGTCCGATTCGTCGTACGTCCAGAACACCAGCAAACATCTGTCAGTTTTGGAAGAAAGTGATGCATCTGCCAAACTATATATTTCAGCAATCCGTATTCGAAGATCCATCGGAAACGGTGTCACTCATGATGAGCCCCGATGAGTCTATTGTCGCAAAACGAATGATTCCAAAATGGCAAACTGTCACTTTTACATTGGCTTTCGGAAAGAACGTAGCTGTCAAGTATCGTGTCATTGAAACTCGTAAACAACCAATCCTTCATGTTAACGCCAAAGTTGACCGAGTCAAACGTGTTCCTACCAGTACCCTCTATCGTATTGAACCCGAACAGGTTGGATGCAAATAATAACATGAAAAAATACACTAAAATTTTGAAGAGAGTCGAATACTGGAACTGCTTCAAAGCGAACGAGCTGAAGTTGTCCACCGTAGAGAAGAATGATCCACAAATTGTGAAAAGAGTATTTTTGGAGACATCAGGAGATGCTTGTCACTCAGTGGATATTGTGGATGGCTACGCGGACAACAACCCCCCAAGGACAAAAGTACTTACTGTTAATTAGTCTGATTTAATACCATTGCAATTTTCAGAAACGACTTCAGTCAAGCTGACCAAAGAACTCAATCTCATGTGGCGGAGAGCTGATGAATGATGATGTTATAACTTGTTTTCGAACCAATGTTTAATATAAAATATGAATTATAAACTATTTATTGGCATTTAATTAGAACGGGAATGTGGTACTATTCCGAAAACATCACTTTGATGATATGTACAAAAAAGTATTCTGCTGGGGGAAATTGCGATGAATTAATAAAGAATCGAACTTATTGAGAGTCAACGTTATCGGATGGGTACACCACATGCCGTTTTTCACAGTTATAATCCCAGCATTGAAAGTTGAGATAGCCCTGAAATATTCTACAGTACACATGCAGTACATGCTGAAGTCGAACTCACGGAGCAGATGTTTGTATCCGGTAGCTTCAGTGGCCAACTAGGCGCCGTGATTTTCTTTCTGAAACCCAGGTGGTCCATTGTGAAGAACATAACGCCATCGAATATTACCCTTTAGTACTTTTTACTGATCCATTGTGGGAAAAGGGACAAATCGTGGGGGCAAAGCAGTGCCCATACTTGTTGAGAATGCATTCTTCAACTCCATTTTCGGAAACGGAAGGCACAGTCACGATGAGGGTCGGGCCTCTGTCAGTTGTTACGGATACCGACTTCCGCAGAGGTCTCTGAATCTACGCACAATATACACAGGCGCACTTATAAGAAAAAGAACTTACATCAGGCGATGAAGCAGTGGTTTCTGAAGAATTACTTGTGTTGTTGTCGGAAGATGACACATGTTTGTCGTTGTTCTCTTTTCCAGATACAACCCATCTCATTTGAGTCGTGGATGGCTGACTATCTGAAATTTTAAAGATACCAACTTTTAAATTATTTTCAACTTTTTCACCATCAACGAAGATCTGATCACTATCTGCAGTCGAGTGAGGGGATGAGTGAGAATGGGTGACCGACGGCGGATTCACTTTCCGATTCAGGACATATTTACTTCCTGACGGATAAATCTTTGAAAAATCTAACTTTTAGAAACTAACTGTCGTATTCATTCCACGATGGTTGTGATGCATCGCTTCCGCCTTGCGTTTCATGATCATCTTCCTCATAAGTAGTTCTCTTTTCAGGGTAGGTTCTCCAACTTGGATCCGAATCTTCATGTCGCAATCCTAATTGCCGCTGAAAATATCTTTTTGAGGAAGATGAGAAGATAGTCATTCTTACTTTTCTCAATAAGCATTGATCTGCCATTTCCTTCTGATGAGCAGCCCACTTTTGTAATGTTTTTTCTTGCAGCGGCGTCGTGAGCTGACTTCTCATTTTCAAACTTTCTGGGTCAGTGGTTCTTCCCAACGGGTACCGTCCTTCGTCTGAATATTGTTGTGGATAGGGTCGCTCTCTCACGATCATTCGCTGAAAACGATTTGTAGTGTCTGAAAAAATATTTATGAGCGGGTTGATTACAGTCGAGTACTTACTTGTAGAATACCAGTTGTACTCATTGTGATGCATTTGATAAATTATTTTACAAGCAGAAGAAGTGATACGAACACGTGCTTGGTTAACCTGGCAATCGCTAGCGCATGAAGAGACTGTCGGCAGCAAAAGAAAAACGCGAGACGTTCCCCGTAAATCGACACGGACTAGATTTTTCTGCGCGAAAACTAGGCCCCCACTGGTTTTTTCGCGGACATTCAAATTATCTGCATCATATATTTCACGATTCTGGAGTTAATCAAACTGTTTTTGTATAGAACGAAACGGAGGAAAAAGGAGAAAATGCAGTGTTCCACAAAAAGATATTTTCACCCTTCGTTTGTACTGGAACACCTATTTAAATCAATTTTCGCGAAAAAGTGTCAACATCAAAAACAAAAGTCTTCCTTCAAAGTACATATGTACAAAAAATTTGGAGCCATCAACGCGACTGAGAAACGAGAAACCAGAAAAGTTCCAAAAGCCCATTCTGGTGGTTCCACAAAATGATAACTCCACTCTGAAAATGTGATATTTTGGAGGTTTTGAAGCTCTGAGGAATCCAGTTGAAGTTCTGAATTCGAACAATTTCAAGCTTCTGATTTCTATAAACAAAAGCTTTCGTACACGGATTCCGGATATTCGAATTTCCCGATTTCCGGGTTTCCGGATTTCCGGTTTACCGAATTTTCGAATTTCAGGATTTCCGGGTTTCTGAATTTCTGAGTTTCTGAACTTCTGGATTTCTGGATTTCTGAATTTCCGGATTACTGATTAAGGTAGGCCGAAATCCGGTTAACCGAAAATCCGGAAACCCAGAAATAAGAATCCTGAAACTCTGAAATCGTGAAATCCAGAAATCCTGAAATTCGAAAATTCGAAAATCCGGAAAACCAGAATCCTTGAATTTTTAAATTCCGAAATCCTGAAATTTTGAAATCATGAAATCTAGAAATCCAGAAATTTGGAAATTCGATAATCCGGTAAAACGAAACTTGGAGGAGATTCAAAAAAATTCGAGATTCAAAACCTCCAAAATCTCACTTTTCAGAGTGGAGTTCTGTCATTCTGTGGAACCGCCAGAATGGGCTTTTGGAACTTTTCCGGTTTCTCGTTTCTCAGTCGCGTTGATGGCTCCAAATTTTTTGTACATATGTACTTTGAAGGAATACCTTTGTTTTTCATGTTCACACTTTTCATGAATATTGACTTAAATAGGTGTTCCAGTACAAACGAAGGGTGAAATTATCTTTTTGTGGAGCACTGTATTGTAACATAATATATTTTTCAGAAAAAAATATATAATTCAAGTTTCATGTTCATAAATTGAAATCAGAAAAAGAAGAAGAAGAAGAAGCCGTGAGGAGTTCATAAAGAACATCATTAACTTGTTCTCAATAGTCAAATAGTCAGAAATATCAGCAGAGCTCTCGTGGTTCTAATGAAAACTGAAAATAGTTTATATATTCTTTTTTCCCCGATTTTCTTTGATAAAGAATATTCATAACACATTATTTTTCCAGATGCATAAATGCTTTTCCAACCAATTTCATTCAATCACATTATATCTCATCGAATGCTTAGCAGAAAAATACAGAATAAACACCTCAGGTAATTCTCAGGGAGTGGAGCTGTGGAAGAGAAGCGCCGGTAGCCGCAACCGGAGGTCCCACAACAATAACTACAGTGACCAAAAAATATTACCGTGTTTATTTTCTCGATTTTTCGTGCATTTTCAGTCAATTTTTTACTATTAAAATTTTTTATTTCCCGGCTTTTTTTTGGGAAAATAGAAGATTAGCAGAAAACTCGACGAAACGC